TACATAATATTCTGTTATGCCTCCGGAGAGGCACGGTAGTTAGGATCGTTTGCCGTCATTGATCATAAAATATATAGAGCAACATATTCATGGAACATATAGAGTTTGTCAGTCGTGTGATTACAGCGTAATAGTGAAAAAAGAAGAATCTGATAAAAAGTTGACGACATCGAATAGAGCAATAGAGAATGCTAGACGGTCTATCGGTGAGAGAAACATGTGCCTTTTAAAAACCTTGTGTCATTTGAAAAAAAAATAAAAGAACCGTATTCTTACGAGCCGCCGACAATAAGCTCATAAAGTGCATTCAAGAGTGCATTTTCAATACGCTAAAGGGTAACGTACCGCTTTGTTGTAGCGATAAAAAGCGATTAGCCAAACATAAAACGGTCCTACGGCGTGTTCCGGCAAAACAAGGTAATTGGAAGATTAAAAGAAAGCTGTTAGTACAGAGAGGTGGATTTTTACCCTATCTTATTGGACCTTTACTAGGGGCTATATTATCCCGGATTATCGGCGAATGAAACAGAAAAATACAAACCTATACAATCCTTACATTCTTCGTATAGGAAAAATAATAAAAATAATTAAAAAGGAAAATGTTAACACCTGTACTTTGTATAATGGAGAGGGCTAAGAAAATGGTTTTGATATCTACCGAAAATCTTAAAAGAATGCAGCAAATGCAACAGCAATCGAAAATGGCATCTATTGCGATAACTAATAACTCGCCGAAGAAAAATATGGAAATATCAAAAGCGGAAAATGTAAATAATAATAGTAATTCAGTACGAACACCGGGAACAGCTTTATTGCGACTCGATGCGGAAATGTGGCGTATTCTTAACCTCGCGACTCCTGTCGACGAGGACAAAAAATGGAAATTGTATAAGGAAGCACTCCAACGTTATCTTCACTTTGTTCGGGAAGCGAAAAAACGCTTACGCGAGGATACACAGGATAACGGCGAGGACAATAATGACGAGCAGCACGAAGACACGAATTTGGATGTCGACGATAACAAATTTATGGAAACGTCAACTTTAATTAGCAGCGATCGCGGTGACGGTAGCGCTAGTAGTAGTAGTAGTTTCGGGAAAAAACGCGCACAATCGGCTGAAATGATCAAAAAAACACTCGATAGTGTACCGAAATCTTATCGCGACAAAGCGCGAGCGCTATTAAAATATTTGATAGATATTCCGGCATCTAAGATTAGCTGGGATAGACGAGGACTCGTAACTATAGACGGCACTGTCATAACGGAATCGAATATCGCGGAACTTATAAACGACGCGATACGCGAGAGAAAAACATTTAAAGCAACCGGAAGAATTCAGTTTGCTCGATTACTGCAGGATGTTTTTTTTTACTTAAATTGTTAAATTTTTTTCATCTCCCCTCTTTCCTTTTACAGTATAATTTTCCAAACGTTTAAACTTTTTAACGCCTGTTTTTATTATTCTTTCATTGGTTGAGGTAACGTAATTTCTTTTGGCGCGGCAAATGCGAAACCCTATAGAAACTAAGGGAATTAGTCAGACATAAAATGAAAATAACTAAAAATAGGCGGTGCTAGAATAAGGAAACTTTTTATCCCACTTTATTGAAGTGATGCATTGGCGATAGTATTTTGCTTGGGACATTTTGGCGGTGATGTCCGTCTATTAAATATAGGAGGTGAAATTATAACATACCGACAAGCTATGGAAAAAAAGGAGGATGAAGATATCGGCGGCTATATAGCCCATTTTCTAATGCATTACCATTGACAACGTGCGTTAGGTAAATATATTTCACTTATAATAATAACAATTTTATGTTGTAATATTCTACTTTATAATATTTTTACGTTGTATGATTAACATCTCTTACATACAACATTTTCTTCGGGAAGGGAATTCATTTTTGTGCAAGTTGTCCCGACTATCTGCGAACTTGTTTTCTTTGTGTGTCTTTCAGCAGTTCGAACATTAGCCAAGACGCGATTCGAGCAACAGCAAGCATTTGTATCATACGGTGTAAAATTTTTGATAAAATTATAAATGATTTAAAATTGTTTTTATTGGCTACTTTAATTTTCATTTTATAAAATTTTTTGAATGCATATATGTATATATCAGAGTGAACCTTAGCTATTCTTGGTGAAAAATTTCTTTTCAATTTTTTTCAAAACGCTCCCTAAAATTGTTCCATTTAGGGGAAAAAAAATCGTGCAAAATTTGAATTCGATCGGACAATGGGAAGACGTGACACATCCAACTTGAAGCTTTTAAATTTTAATAATTTGACATGACATATAAAGGCAACGAATTTTTAAAAGATTAATTGATATAGTTTATATTTTTAAAAATATTATATTTCTTTTCAATCATATGAACACTAAAATACGAGTCGAGTAGCTCACATTCCAATTGGCTAAATATTATAGTTATGCATTGTAACCGTTTTCTTATTTTATTATAATTATTTAAGTAATAATTATTGGATCATTCGGTGAGCGATTCTTCGGTGCCCACGGCACACCTTCGGCGCGTATCTTGAATATCGGTCCCACGATCCAGAAAATTCAATTTACCATAAAAGAAACCGAGTTGGGCGCCAGGTACGGCAGGCCGCACCATTCACGATAATAGCAACACTGAAGGACAATTGCGAGACCGATAATTAACGCGACGACAAAATTCCGCGGCTACTCAGTGTACCCGAAATGGTAGAGAGGGTGGTTCGGGGGAAACGGGAGAGATCTTGAGAGTCGAGAACACGGGAGCTAAAATGAGTATTCGATATGGTAAAATAAGAGTAACAATAATATATTAACAATAAAAGTATAGAGTGGTTCGTATAAACAATACCTTGTGGTGATAGCAGATAATTTCCATGCAAATGTGATATCGTGTATTTCCGCGGAGATCGACACGACCGAGCGCAATAGTATCGAATTACCGGGCGTCTAGCGTGATTTGAACTCGACTTTTCGACCGTGAGGATTTCCGCCGTACGTGACTTATTTAGGCCGCGACAACTGAAGAAATCTCTCAAACGCACCGGTAATTACTTTACGCACGCCCGTGAATCCGCTTCGATGGGGTAGAAATTTCCAGAGTGTATGGCTCGAATCGGTCCTTTAGTCAGGCTCGCGGTGAGCCGGTATTTGCCTCGATAACAATAGCGACCTTGGCGTCGAAATACGTAATATATAACTCGAATGACTCGCGGAAACTAATAGCGAGCTCAAAGATACCCGACAGATTTTCTGCACGATATTTAAGAATTTCGCTTTCCCCTTACTCTAATTTCCTATAACACATACAATATACTCGCTAACAATGCACAGAAAGAGTACGGGACTATCGAGAACGACTGTGGTGTACGAGTCGTGTGACGCAATACTTTACGCGATCCTGAATATCGATCGCGTGAGCGTAAAGATCCCGATAATCTACAGCACACAATAATTACAAACGCAAAACTAACATTAATGACTGTCGGCGGCGGCAAAATAAGTAGAGAGAGCTTATTTTCTATAATCCGGATGAGTAGCAAGTGCCCGTCGGCCGTTGCGACGCAGTCTACCAAAAATTTCACAAAAGTTAATTCACAAAACGCGTGGCTCGACAACTATTAAGGGCGCGACTCATCCGAATTAATTACTTACAATAATTCGGCAACAAAATCGGGCTGGCGACACTCATCCCACCGGCTGGAAGATCTCGGATTTTCCGTCGCAGTTTCGTTCGCACGCTATCAGGGAAACCTACGTCCTTCCTTAAAGCTCGCCGAACAGTGCCGAGCGAGAGTCCTGCAGGAGACACGCCGGCGCGATAAATCGCTATTGTGCCACCTGTAGCGCTTTCGCGTTACGCAGGGCCGTCCTGTGGTCCTCGCGGTCCTTGTTGTCGTCACGGCCGTGTTGGTGGGTTCATCGCCCCGGAATTTCCAAAATTTGCTGTTGTTCGGCTTAGAGGTGCGGGCTTACAGCTGCGCCAGATCGGCTCTTTTCCTATTTTACCGAATAGGCCCATGGGTGAGAGTCCTCTCGCCGCTCCGTCCTTGGGACTCCCTCGCTTCGTGCGGGTGGAGTGGTCGCCCCTTCGGCCGAATTCTTCCGGCCCTTCGCGCCTCTTTCCTGCCGTAAAAAATACGAAGTTACCGGCAGCGATGTTTCCTTGCCACCAAAATAGTTTTTAATATTATCGAACTACGACCTGACATCTGACCATGCGTGGAGCACGATAGCGAATAGAAGGAGAGCGCAACGACATTCTTCTATCGCGCATGCGCCATTAGAACGGAACGGGCTCGGATTGCTCGGAAGGACGCTATTCCAGAATAGGGGGGGACAGTTCGGTTTCGATAACTCCAGGATACAGGGTACCGACTGTAAAGCGGTTCCTCGGTGACCGATCGCAGTCGGCGCTCGCCGTCCGCGGAGTTTACGTTGCACGTTCGTATATATATCTAGAACGGATATAGAGAGAGACGGAGCGTGCAGAAGGCACGCGCACAGACATACGGCAGGCGAGGACGACCAAGATGGCTAACTGTCAGACTGGATCCTCCCATTGGCGCGGCAAGTGAGCGATCGGGCGACGCGATTCTCTTCGACGGTGTTGTTGCGTGCGCGTGTGTACGTTACGTGCGTCATCGTGTCGAGCTTGGAAGACGCGAGTCGAACGCAAAAATTCGGAAGACGTCATCACCACGGGCCATGGTACATCGATAGATACACGGATCGAGGGATCGATACACGCCGATGATACTCGTCGCTTCTCGGAGTGCTTCCCCCGCGATGACGATGACTTTCCTCGTCGCGAGTGCAACGGGCTGAGTCGGGCGAAAACGGTTTACCCGAATCGAGCCGAGATCGGGAATAGATAGATATCAATGGCGGACAACTCGACGAGAAATCGGCCAGTCGACAAATCGGTGCGTGGATGACCCGACAACGACGAGTTTTTGGGCACATCGACGCGCGTACATTTATCTATTACGTCCACTCCTTCCCCTCCCCCTCCCGTCGTCCCATGTGTGTCGCGCTCGGTGTTGCTTGGTTAGTTAGTCGGGTCTCTGTGTGCGCGCGCGAGAGATCCATCTCTCTATCTCTCTCCTCCGACTCCCTATATACCCTCCGCTAAACGCGCACTCGTTCGCGCGGGAGAAGTGATGCATAAGAAAATCTCTTGGATGGTACGTCCCGCGATACGTGTGTTGGGATGTAGACGACGGCGACAACGGCAGGAGGAGGTACGTATATAGTCAATACGTGTATGCGTCAGGTGCATATCATCTCTCCCCCCCCGTACACTTTTCCAGGCGATACCTGCCCCGCTTCGTACCTGGTTGCTGGCGTACGAGGACGAGCGCCCGTATTGGTAGATGGTAATCACACAACTCTCTCTCCCTCTCACTCCTCGCGGCGCTCCAAGATCCACCGCGGAGAACCATGGCTTCTGGTGCATCCTCCTTGGACAGTGCTGGAAGTAGCGGTGAGTGGGACAATTTTTATTTTCAACGCCTCTCTTCTTTCTTCGTCTTCTTTTTTTTTTTTTTTTTTCTTTTCTTTTTTTCTTTTTTTCTTTTCGATAATGTCTCTCCATCGCGTACGGCTAACGTCAGCGCGTCATTGTATTTTTAATTACGACGTCGTTCTCGTCGTCGCCGCAGAAATATTTTTATCGGAAAATTAAACTTGGCGGAGAAGCTCTCGAGGATTCTCCTGCATGCACTACCACTACGCCTTCTGAAATATCGGCGTATCTGTTTCAGAGAGTAATTTAAAAAATTAGAATTTTTTTATAATTATAATTTTTATTTATTTTTAATATATTAGTTAAGAGATCCCCTAGGATTTTACTATGAAAATCTGTTTCATTTCAGAACAGATTTGCATATATATATATAGATACATCAAGAAAAGAATATTATTGCCAATAAATATTGGATAAAATTAAGGATAAAACAGATATTATGTCATATCATTTGGAATATTGTTATTGATCTTTCTTGGCTGAAGAAAAATAATGAATCACACTATATACTTATATGCGTGGCCTAGAGTTTCTTTCCTGGTGAAAGCTAGCGTGACCTCTGATTATGTTGTTCCATCTACTGTAACAAGCATTTCAGACTTTTAAATTTTATTGTGAAATTTTAACGCGCTATTCGAATATTATTCATACTTTTACTTGTTTTACTTGTGCTCTTTTTTTTTTCTTTTTCTTCTGTTTGCGCTTCTCTTCTCCCTTTATACATGATCGGTATGTATGTCTTGAAGTAATACAGGTGTTTATAATTAATTTTCCAGATGGTGCACTTAACATGGGTAAGAATTATTTTTAAACAAAAGTTATAAAAATACATGTGCATATATAGACACATCTCTATGTACATCGCATCTTTTTTCAATAAATTCCCAATGGGTCTCCCTTTGTCGCATTATTATTATATGTATTGCTTAAGAATGATTAAATTAATTAGATCGATGTACAACACCTATCTTTTTCCTCAATCTTTCTCTCTCTATTATATGTATTTTTTTATTTATTTGCTTTTTATTTATTTACTTTTTATTTATCACATCATATTACATCAAACAGAATGTATTTTATTTTGTACGCACATATTTTATATTGAGTTACATCAATTATGTTTTTGACGTGTTTGCTGTTGAAATTGACACTTATGGCAAAAAACCAGAGGGGGATAGCGGAAGTTATGGCAGTGTTGGAAGTCCGGTTCGTGGCCCCGAGTGTCGTAGTGCCGAATTTGACGGTTTGCAGGCTCAATGTGATCAAGCGATGCATCAGCTTCAGCTACTTAGGCATAAGCACTCCGATACCATAAGACGGTTTGTTTTGATTTTGTTTCAAACCTTCTGTCTCGCTCTCTGCTGCTACATACCTTTCTTCTCATTTTTCATTTTACCATGCAAGTATATTTTTTAGTTACATACAAATGCACACATTTCACATTTTTCTCACATGTGCTTGAAACTTCGCTTTTAGGATAAATACGATTCAAGTGCGTTAAAAAAAAAAAATGTACAAAACACAGGTGTGAGCATACTATGAAGGAATTGGAGTATTATCGCGGGCAACATATAGCAGTCATGAATCAACTGGAAGCGACATCCCAAGAGAGCTCCGCGTTACGGGCGAAATATAGTGATCTTGCAAACGATAAGCAACGACTGGACCGGGAGGTGCAGACCCTGCAAAAGGAATTGTCGGAACTGCAGCGTATACAGAACCAAGATGTTCTCGTCTCCGATGCCGCGAGCAACGATGCTATGAATCAACATTATCTATCTGCGTTACGAAAATACGAAGCGGTTAAGGACGAATACGATTCTCTCAGGAAACGATACGACGACTTGATTGCGTCGCATTCCTCTGCAGTAAATAAGGCAAGTACATCCGATAGCGTTATTTCCAACACGTTTTACTTTAACATAATAAAAATTTATGCAAAATTGCATATTTGTGATAAATACAGCTAGAGTTATCGCAAGAGGAAGCTAAGAGGCTCAAGAAACAATACGACAGCGTCTTGGAGGAGCGTAACAGCGCGATTCGCGAGCGCAACGGTCTGAAGCAGCAGTGCACCGCCGCGATTCGTCAGTGGGACATTGCCTTAAGGGAGAGAAACGAGTATCGCGAAGCGCTCGCCAAGGTGCAGCAGCAGCACGAGGAGGCGGTCAAGGAGATCAATCAGGCAATGGTGCTGCGCATGAAAGCCAGCAAGGATATGAAACGTCTTACCGAGGAACGAAACGCCGCCTTGCAGGAATACAGTCTAATTATGGGAGAACGGGACACGGTGCACAAGGAGATCGAGAAATTGGGCGACGATCTCACGCAAGCGTATACAAAAGTCACGCATCTGGAAACGCAGAATAAGCAGCTCATGGAAGAAGTAATGAAAATATTATTAATTCAGCTCTCTCTCGCCATTCCTCTCACTCGTTATTTTTATGTCTCTTCTATATAGATGTTTATAGAGATATATATTTTTTATGATACATACACTTAAAAAAGTGGTTTTGCAACTACAGCAAAAATTTTCTGGGTGCGCAAAATTAACTGAGGTACATAAATGATATATATATTTCTTTGTTTGTTTTTATGAATTATTAGAACACAAAATTAATAATGAACTTTATCATATAATTATTTTTCTACTGGTTTCTTTTTTTGTATGGGGAGGAAGGAACAGGCAATTTCATATTACATTAGTTTTAATCTTCTTTCGAATTGTTTGAACACTTAATTCTGAACTTTATCTTGATGCACTCTTTCGGTATTGTTGAAGCATTTAATTCTCTCTCTCACTTTATCACGAACGATTACGAAACAAGAGTTTGAAGCAAAATTATAATTCTATAATTATCTTTTTGTAGAAACTTTCAATTTGCGCTTGTTGCAAGTACGAAACTGTAAAATAAAAAGAAATAAACCCTTGCATAATTACACATATCTATTTTCCGAAACTAGTGAAAGTCTTATTTTCGTAGGTCATGAAAGAAATTTGAATAAGATTTCATCAAGAAAAAATCTGAAATTTGTTGTTAGAAACTTATTGTATAGTTATTTATATAAATGAACGCAATATTCTGTTATACACAATTACATCGACGCCGATTTATTTGCAGAAGAAAACGTTGTCTTATCAAATCGAGACATTGAAGAGGGAGATCGCGTCCGCCTTGCAAGACAGGGACGAAGCTCTGAAATTATGCAATGAGTTACAGCAGAAATTCGGCGAACGCAATTATACCGGCGAAGGTTCCAACAGAGACTATAAGCATTGTTTGGAATTGAACTCGTTTAGTCGTGAACGCGACAGCGTCAACAAAGAAGCGGAGAAGGAGACGAACACGAGGGATTATACGACACGGGATAAGCAACGCATGGACAATTTGGAGCAGGCTAACTTGGAGTTGGATAAACTCAGAAAAACAGTGGATACGCTACAGGTGGAGCTCGAGGAGGCCATTCAAGAGGCCGAAGTATCGAAAAGAAGGAGGGATTGGGCCTTCAGTGAGCGCGACAAGATAGTGTTAGAGCGAGAGAACATAAGAGGTCTGTGTGATAGATTGCGAAAGGAACGCGACCGTGCTGTTTCCGAACTGGCTGGCGCTCTGCGCGACTCCGATGACATCAAAAAGCAACGAAACGAGGCGTCAAAGGAGTTGAAGGATTTGAAGGAGAAGATCGAATTTAGCGATCATGCGCTGCGAACAAGCCAGTTGGCGCAAATAGATGAGAATAATGATTGGGAGATGATTCCGATTCACGTGGAACCCGGTAGAATCTGCTTGGACTCGGATCGCGACGATCTCGGATTGATCCTCGTCGGCGGCCGCGATAGTCCGTATTATCCAAACGACACCGGTGTCTATGTCGCACAACTGGCGCAGGGTAGCGCCTTTGATGGTAAGCTACGGCTAAACGACTGCATCGTGCGAGTGAACAACGTTGATTGCACATCCGTGTCGACGCGTGTAATCCTGGAGACTTTACGTTCATCTACCATGAATCCGGCGACTCTGATCGTGAAGCGGCGCCGGATGACCAGGCGGCCGTTGAGAACTACGCAGTTGTCGATCGGCACAGTGCCACACGGTATTACTCTGGAACTTGGAATTTACATCTCGAAGATATCACCCGGCAGTTTGGCCGCCAAAGATGGAAACCTCGCCGTAGGAGATAGAGTATTAAACGTAAGTTACATCGAAGCAATTTGCTCTAAATCTATATCTTATGTTAATTTGTGTAAATTAATTGATATATAATCTCACAAAGTGTAAGCATATAAATACTCTTTACTCCTTTTTTATTTCTTAGACTAAAAGAAATCAATTAAAATAAATAAAATTAAAAATTAGTTTGAAAAGAGAAAGAAATAGATCCCCCTA